TAGGCCCCGGGTGTTGCTTGGGTCTATTAAGTTCAGGCCCAAAGCCCCGGTGCCCAAGCCTGGGTCCACCAAGGTCGAGCGTGGGATCCTGATACTCAAGCTCAGATCCTTAATACTCAGGTGCAAATCCACAAAGGCTATGCCCGGGTCCTTAGCGCTCGGGCTTATTCCTTAGTGCCCGAGCCAATCTTTAAGGTCGAGGCTCGGGACCATAGTGCTCGTGCTCGAGTCCATCGAGGCCGAGCTCGGAACCCCATGCTCGTGCTTGGGTCCACCAAGCCGGGCTCGATACCTTGGCGCCTGTGGCTCAGTCCACAAGGCTGGGCCCAGGACCTAGGTGCTTGTGCCCAAATCCCTGCAGCTAGGTCGTGGTCCATCGAGGCCGAACCCGGGACTCTAATGCTAGAATCCGGTTCTCTAGTTACCCATGCGCAAGTTACAAATGCCTAAGGAGTATATGTTTATCAAAGAAAATCAAATAAGATTTTCAGGTTTGTTTAACGAAAAATGTGACATTTCTAAAAAATATTTTCCAAGAAATTATTTTCCTCATTTTCCAAGAAAACAACAATATTTTTTGGCGTTTGGCTGAAACTTGAAATCGAACTGGAAAATATTTTCCGTTGTTTGGTATGAAAAATCTGATTTGATTTTTCTCAATAAACATATACTATTTGAACGCTAGTAACTTACAAATGGGCAACTGGGGAACGGAGTATGGGCACGAAGTATGGGCAGTAGAGTCATGGGGGATCGGGCCTTAATGGACCCCGACCCAGGCGTTGGGGATCAGGGCACGGGCACATGGGTCCCAGGCCCAATATAGATGGACCTAAGTGTGGGCACCGAGCTCGGCCTCGATAGACCTTGGTTCGGGCACCAAGGACCCAAGCTCAAGTGTTGAGGACCGATCGCAGCCTTGTGACATAGGCCCGAGTGCCAAAGACTAGAGCTCGAGTGTCGAAGACTAGGGTGTTGTGACCTACCCTTCGAGGGTCATGCCCTCTCGGATGGGTTTTGAGGTAATTGTTTATGAGACGGTCCGAATGGTATGTACAAGTAACGGTCTCGAATGGACTATCACTTGATAACACTACAAGCGCCATTGATCACAAACGCGGACTCTCCTAAGCCCATACCTCGCGTGATACAAGATCACTTTCAAGTTCTCAACCAACCTATATATTTGCCAAGAGTCGCCACTAGCAATTGTTGAGGGTAGGCTAGAACACCCAATCGAAATGCGGAAATTTCATACCAATTCCTATACATCCAGAGATTCTAAGTTTGGGAACTTATTTACATCAACATTTCTATTAGTACCCTCTCGATTCCTAACTTGAGAGTGTGTTATCAAACGTGGTCATGCAATCTTGATTATCAATTATGAGCCTAGAGGTATTAAAGCCGCTAAGTGTCCATGCCATTGTTTTGTAGGGTTGTTTTTCATCCATGTTTAAACTAATCCTAACATATTCTAGGAAAGAAAACATCCAATTTATTGAAAAGTGGTTCGAGAAATAAACACTCAATTATTTAAATGACTTCAAAGTAAATGCGGAAAAGAAAACCCAATCCAAATCGGGCAAATAATATACATGACTTTGTTATAAGCCTCAAGATAACAACCCTCGTGAGCTTAACATTAAAAAAAATCCCAAAAGTTGGGCTAGACTATGGCAGGCCTAATTTTACTCATTTTAAAATATGATTAGACTAACCTAAGCTAAACTAACCATTATCCTAAAAGAGTGATTCTAAGTCTATCTGATTTTATGGCTTAAAGTCTCATCTAATCTGGACCTAAAGTTATGACTAGCTAGTTTAACTATCCTAAGCTCAATTATGCTAAGCTATAGTGACCTTGGACCGCCATGGGTGTCAGTTCTCGTCCTTTGCATTCACCATCAATCAAAATATACCAACGATCAAAGCAAACGATCAGCAAAGTTCATTCAATCACTAATTGCCTCGGGGTCAGCTTTGAAGTGAAACACACGTTTTGATTTTTCCCAAGCACCCTCCTGTTGAACCATGGATTTATTGAATAACGTTGATGATTATTAGCCCCCGCTTGCGTTCACAAGGTAGTAGACTAACGTCATCAACCCCTAATTGAACACTAATTACCCTCTTAATATACCCGCAGAACGGCATGCTCCGAGGTCCTAACATTCATCTAGGCATTCACATACAAAGTCGAGTAAGACATGCAATTGGCACATAAAACCATCGTGCAAACAAGCAAGGGTACTAATTGCACTAAAAGACGAGAAAAGACATTTTCCCAACCCAACTTCTAATTTTTTAATATCCGAAGTTTTTTTTTTAATTTTGAAATTATATTTTTTTTATAAAAAATAAATTTTTAATTTTTATTATAAAAATAATTTTGTTATTCCGAAAATAAGGACTCGAGCTGGGCTCTAGGGCCAGAAAATGGGCTGCAACTGGTGCCACGAATCTGGACTCATGGACACAAGCAAAGATTGGGCCAATAAAACGGGCCTCATTCAATCCAAACCAAAACAAGTCCAAAATCAAACAACTTAAGCAAAGCCCGGCTTTCACTAACCTTACAACAAAACTAAGCCCAAATATGCAAAAACAAACACTTCAAGCCCAAAGTTCACTAAGCCTAAACGAGCTCCGAAGTCCCCTATACTTAGCTAAGCCCACGAAGCTCATTACTCTCGGCCCCTCCTTCACCGACTTTCCAGCCCCAGAACTGCTCCTCAACGTCGTCTTCTTCGAGCACGTCCAGAATACTCGAGATCACATATTACTCATAAAACGCCGGCACTTCAACGGCAATCCAAACCCATTCTATCCCAAGTCCAATAATGATACACTTCAACATCAACCACCTCCAGCCACCGTACCACCCCCGCCGTGTTAACGGCCACCATCGGCAATCACTCTGATCGCCGATCTATTCTCACTTATGGTGCCACGCTGAAGCATACCATGTCGAATGGCACGTACTAGCAAAACTTTAGTCAAACATCACAGGAAGTCAGCACTTATCAAGAGTTTTTGGTTCATTCCCTCATCGATATTCACCATGAAAACATCACGGAAGTACCGCACAAAGCACAAAAAAGGAGAAAAGCATAAGCAGCCGCGGCTAATGAATGATTGTTTTCGAGTGACTCCTATCACTACACACCCGGCGGGCATCGACTGAGGGGAGCCACAACAGACATTTAGGATGCGTGCTCAAGCCAAAATCCATTCATAATCAATAAATGACGCTCAGCGTAAACAAAAGAAGGCACGAGGAGCTCAGAATGCGCGAAAACCGGAGCCGGCCTGGGTCCATAGATAAGGCATAATAGAGGCGTTGTAGGCTTGGAGCGCACGACTGCGGGTCCCTACCCGGCTCGGCGGCGGTGAATAAAGTGCGAGCTCGATCAATTGGACTTTGTCCGGTCGCCTCTCATCGGGATCCTTGGGAAAGAGGGTTAAATCAAAGCAAACGGCAAAAACAAGGAAGTTACCAGGGAAGGTGATGCTGGGAAGGGGAGGCCCGGTTTTGCTTTCTTTTTTCTTTTTTTTTTACTATTTTCTAATTTACCCAATTTTCATTTTTGTTATTTTCGTTTTTTTGACAACTTATATGATCGGCAAAATCAAGTGTCAATAGCTGGGCATGGCCTTTGTGACCCGGGCTCAGGTGTCGGGGCATCGAGTATGGGCACCGGGACTTTGGGCCTAGCCTCGACAGACCTGAGTGGGCGCCGAGGGCCCAAACACAGTCATAGGGGTTCCGAACTGTCATTTTATTATTGTCACTGGACCTGTCAAAATGGGTCCAAAATCCATTTAAGAACCTAAAATTATTTAAATGGACTGTTGACACCCGAATTTTCCCAACATTTTAAGTTAGAAAGTTCGAGATTCAAGATTCGAGATCCCCGATCGTGGCGAGACTCGATTTTCTAAAAAAAAAATAGTATTTCATTAGCTTCTAATCTTTTTTCTAGATATTTAAATTATAGACATTATAGTATTAGAACCTCATGCTCGACGGCTAAATTTTGGCCTCGACCGCCTTGATTAACAATTAGGGTCAATCGTCTCTCTAACAATTTTGACTTGTATTTCCCTCATTGATTAAAGGTCCAAACGAGCTTAGGAAATTACAAGCTAGGTGTCAAAAGGAGCATTTCCGAGTGTATTTTCCAATGATATATAGCTCTTGCACAGACTCAAGTGTAGCTTCCTAGATTTTTTTTTTTTTTCCGAGCAAGTGTCGGCTGACGCCCCTGGACGGGAACCTATAATGTAATGAGAAAATATTAGGTAGGACTCGCATTCCACCGTGGCAAAAAATGAGTATCTCAACGTGCGACACGTGTTGCCAGGCCCCACCCGGTCAGATAACCTCCAATATTTTGAAGATATAGCGCCTCTCTCCTCTCATCTCTCACACTCTCGCGCCCCAACCCCTCTCTGTCCTCCCGGCTCAGAACTTGGCGCTCCCTCCGACTCTTCCGACGCCGGCGCCTCCGCCTCCGCCGACGCCGATGCCGACGCCGACGCCGACGCTCCTCTACGCGCTCGCGCTCCCAACTTCTCTCTTCTCACAGACGTGCCGCCTCCGACGCCGACGCCTTCTGCACTCTGAGAACTCGCGCTCCCTCCGACACCGCCTCCGACGCCCATGCCGACGCCTCCGCGTCGGCCATGCCCTAGCCCTAGCCTCTGCCTCGACGCTCTGCGTCCGCAAGCCCCGAAGAAGCGACGGTGGAAGGCGAAGCCGTAGCCAAAGGAGGAGCTCCACCACCACCAGCCGCAGCTGGCGGCGGCGGCCAAGTCTTCGTCGTCGTCGTTGGCGGACGACTAGGGAGAAGAGATCGCAGCAGCAGCACGCGGTCGACGAGAAGTACACCCGGCGGAAGTCCCTCGTCCCCGTCCTCTACGACTGGCTGGCCAACCACAACCTCCTCTGGCGTTCTCTCTCTTGCCGGTACTTCAAAGGCCTCCTATTTCTCTGTTCGCTGTTTTGCACAAGCTTAACTTCTCTTTATATCAATATTAGTTGGTGAATGTAGGTGGAGTCGCACAAGCTTCTTTGGGATGAGTTTGCAATAGCTGGTGCTGTGCGTGAGTTTGGTGGGCTGGAAGTTATTTTGGACATGATCCAGGTAAAAAAAATTTTGCAACAGCAAGTCCTGTACTGCAATATCTTCTATTTCCTATCTACCGAAGATGTCCTTGTGCGGGGATCTGTGAAGTGTAGATATGTGCTTACGGATTTGCATTTTTTAGCAAAATGAAAACTTTCCCTTTTGTGGATATGTACAGAGTGTTTTTTAGATTCTCTGGACATCTGCTGATAATAGTGTGCATTCTGATTTTGTATTCTGCTATTCTATTCATTTCATATTCCAGAACTTGGCTTTGGACATTGAAACATTAGTTTTTTGTTAGCTTACGGAAATAGTGTAGGAATTAGAGTATGGCTGTGGGGAATTTTATGCTTACTTGTGTATTCATATCACTAGAGGACTCTGAGGTACTCCATTTGGTCATCTAAAGTTTCAATTGAATGGTTCTTTGAACCAAAAAATTTGACTTAAGAAAGGAAAGAGCTTCTTGTGCTACAGTTGTTAGCAAGGATCGTTCTGAATGTAGATTTGGCTAAGTTGGCATTCCACATTCTTAAATCCTGCAAAAAGGGTCTCTAGAATCAAATTTTCAGCTAAGCAAGAAGAAGCCCGCTTTGCTAGCGATGTATTTTGTTTGCTTAATATCTATATTAAAATTTACTCTCTTTTTTTTTTCCCTTTGTGTAATTTTCTCACCAGTTGGATAAGTTTGGTCACAAGTGGCTAGTGTAAGGGTTGGAGGGAAGGAGGAAAGGGTTGCTTAATTTGGAATCTTGACTTTGCTTACTGAATTCTCATTGATTGACATTGCCACGATTTGTAATTGACCCAAGAATATGCCTTGGATCTACAGAAACTATATCGAAATTTGGAGCAGGACTGTTTCTGTTGGTCCAAGTAATTATCCTGCTAGACTTCACTCATTCGTGGAATGATGCATGGGTTGCAAAAGATGAACAGAAATGGTTAGTTGGAGTCTTTAAATATTCTATTCTATCTTTCTTCCTTCTTTGTATGTTAGGCTTCTTTGATATTTGAGTTCTGATGGCTCATTGGACTTGTTTAGGTATGTTGCTTTGCTGGTGATATCAGTTGGGTGCTATATTGCAGCCTACACTCTCTCTGGGATTTTGTTCATATGGTTTAATCCTTCTGGTGAGGACTATGGCCTTAATGTCTTCTTCCTTGTTATGACAATGGTCCTTGGCTTTGTAAATGGAATTGTTCACCCTGTGGTAAGAAAAGCATGCTCTTGAATACTTGTGTATTAGATTTGTAGACCTTTTTAATAATGATATTTGAATAATTGTATTCTCGCAAACTTCATGCACTTGCATGAATTACAAAGCTTATCAAATGGCATTCTCTACAAGTCCATGGAATTAATTTTTAAAACGAATATCCTACTTGTTTCTTTTCTTACTAGAGCTTTTTCCTATATAATTAGCTCTCCAAGGAATCTGTATCTGCCGAGAAAACTTTCCTCTTGTGACTTTGGCTCTATTCTAGTAGTGCACTCTTAAGGAGCTCAAACGTAACTTTATGTCTTATCATTTGCAACGGACTTGCTGTACTCAGATGTAACTCTATGTCTACCTTCATATAATTCGGTGGAAGTCCTATTACTTTTGAATGGTTCATGCACTTTCGTGCGTATCTTTTTCTTCTTAACAAATGATTTCGGTAATCTAATCTAGATCTAAAGAGATGAAGAGCATCAAAAAAGAAGGCGAGATTAGCCCACAATGGACACAAATATGTTGAAAGTCAACCATTAATGAAAGCTAAAGTACCTTGAGACAAAACTTTCAAAGCGAAAAAAACTAGGAAGAACAGCACTCCAATCTCCATTTAAGCTCCTCTGTATAGTTCATCATATCAGTATTTCGGTGCTGTGATGCTGCCATGAGGTGCTAAAACTAGGTTGAGATTGAAATCGAGTTTCATGTGAACTACATTGTGGTTAAATTTTTAGTGCCTACATTGGTGATGCTTGATGCCTGGCTAATGTCTATTGTTAACTGTATGCTTATTCTCTAGTTTATAGAGTGAGATTGACACGAAGACTTGCTGAACTCCATCAAAGCTGACACAGTCCGCCTCGAAAGGTACTGAATTTTGTCTGTTTTGGATATCTTTTCTGATAATGAACTCCACATTATAGTTTTGTGAGCATATACATGAGTATGGACATCCGTAACAATTGATATATATCTATTTCTCGTTAAGTAGTGTCATTACTAAACTTAAACCTGCTGGAATTATGTTTGAAGCTTGCTCGTCGGGACTGATTTGGTGTCATTTTAATCCCAATTTGGGTGCAAATCTCTCGAATGGCTGAATCAGAGGTAATTTTGTCATGCGCACTATGTGAAATATCTTTTTCTTTCTTAAGTAATGGATGAAATGTTATTTTGCATGTAAAAGCACTATGTTGATAACTTTTTGTTCTTTCGGTTGCAGCATGAAATTTCCCATCTTGCACATGTAATGCGTGATATAGAAAAAGATTATGAGTTTGCTGTAGGAATGGTGTTTTCAAATGAACTCGAAGCATACCATAAGTATGTGGCCTATGCAATCGGCAAAGGATTTGGGGTGAGGAAGGGTCATATGTTTAAAAATAGCAAAGGAGAATTAACTCGACGGACTTTTGTGTGCAATTGTGAGGGGCATTCTCTTAGCTCTTCTGATAAAGAAGAGAAATATGAGAGGTATGAAGTTAGATGTGGTTGTCTTGCTCGTATCAAATTTAAGGTTGACAATGGTGTCTATGAAGTCATTGAGTATATTTCTGAGCATAATCATGCATTTATTCCGGATGATCAAAAGCATTTGATTAGATGTGGAAGAATCATGTCTGAAACTTGTAAGGGTGTATTAGTTGATATGATTAAAGCCGGCATTGGGGGAACAACAGCATATAAATTTCTAGCAAATGAAGCAGGAGGAAGCAAAAATTTGGGTTTCAACCTCCGTGATTGTCAAAATTATTTGCAGACGAAAAGAGCCGATGGTATAAGTGGGGGAGATTGTCAAAGTGTTCTAAATCATTTTCATTTGATGCAAATGCAAAATCCAATGTTTTCATACGCTGTACAGGTAGATCAAGATGGTAGAATGACAAATTTATTTTGGAGAGATAGTATGTCGAAATTTGATTACGACTGTTTTGGTGATGTGCTAGTGTTTGATACCACATATCGTACCAACAAATATAATATGATATGTGCACCATTTGTCGAGATTAATCACCATTGGAAGAATGTTTTGTTCGGTTGTGCATTTTTGTTGGACGAGACTGCAGAATCATTTATTTGGTTGTTTGAGGCTTTTTTGAAGTCTATGGGAAATAAGGCTCCAAAAACCATGTTCACTGATCAAGACCAAGCCATGGAAAAAGCTATTAGAACGGTGTTTCCGAATACACAACACCGTTTATGCACTTGGCACATCGGGAAAAATGCCAACCAAAACATCCCACATCTTTACCATAAGCCGAGTTTTAAGGATAAATATTTCTTAGTGCTTATGTATGGATGTACATCGGAGGAAGAATTTGAATCTACTTGGAGGGAAATGGAAAAGGAGTGGGATACTGCGAATAACACTTGGCTTCGGAGATTATATGACATTAGACACAAATGGAGTTCAGCTTTTGGTCGCGACACTTTTACATGTGGTATAAGATCCAGCCAAAGGAGTGAGAGCACCAATAATGTCTTCCAACGCATGTCGACGAAGACATTGACTCTTGTAGAGTTTGTTCACCACTATGAAGAACAAGTGAAGCACATGAGAGAAATTGAAACTCAAGATGATTTCAGTAGTCGAGGCGATCCTAAATATGCCATTTTGGATAATGACATCTTGACGCATGCTGGTTCAGTGTATACGCGTACCATTTTTAAACGGTTCGATCATGAATTCTTGCAAAGTGTCTCTCAACATATTTCAAGTGAAGTATTTGATGGATCGGTTTATTTTTTTACTCTCAAGTTAAAGGGGAAGTTAAATGGGAGTGAATATGTTGTCAAATTTGACCCTGCAGACTCTTCAGTTTCTTGTGATTGCAAATTATTTGAATTAAAAGGGTGGTTGTGTCGCCATGCCTTGAAAGTGTTGAGTCAGAAATCATCGATTACGGGTATTCCATCTGCTTATATTTTGAAAAGATGGACTAAGGGTGCCAAAGAAGGGATTGTGAATGATGAACCTCGTGAAATGGCACCGAATTCATCTAAATTTAATCGATATTCCACGTTAATGCATGAATCCATCGAATTGAATAGTTTGGGAGCCGAGGATGAAAATACTATAAAAATAGTGAGGAAGGGTATGGAAAAAACGAAGGCTCAAATTATGTCATACAAATCAGGTTTGGTTGTGACTGATGATGCTAGTGATGATGATGATAACGGGGCTTCTTTATGCAAGAATCCGGTATTGGACCCCCATCGAAGGAAAGGAAAGGGAATGAGTTATGGAAGACTTAAAAGCTCAAGTGAGAAAAGGAAGAAAAAAGCTAAGAAAGGAACATCTCCAACGCGAATAGAAAGTCGAGGTGAGTAACATATTATTCTACTTAATATGATAAGTTAAATTTTTTGCTTATGTTACATGATGCCAATTAACATATTTATTACTTTGTAATGCAGAGTTGGTTGTTCAAGCAACACGTGATGAAACTCATCTCCCGGATTATTCGAATAATTCCAATCAGTTTCAAAATGCCTTTTATCCTAGCAACAATAGTGGTCCTACAGTAAATCTAAATTTTCATAATCAGGTATGTCACTCTTAATCTTCCATTTGAATTTACATTTTACTAATTTCGTCATTTTTTTAATCTGGATGCAGCAGCCACCATACATCATGCCGCCGGGGATTATGAGTGGATTTTGCCCTATCCCTAGTCAGGTATTTAATAGCTTGGTGTATTACCATACAAAGGATTGAACTTATCATATACATGAATGTGAATAATCTTGGAAAGCAAATTAGTGATGAATTTATTATATGTAGATGCAATCTCCATACATCATGCCGCCAGGGATTATGAATGGAATTTCCCCATTCACAAGTCAGGTGCTTATTATTAAATCATTTTAGACCCTAGTGTTATTGCATCTTATTGTTACGATTGTAATATTTATTGTTACTGGTTTCTTCTGGATAGATGTTGGAGTATCATAATAGATCTCACGGAACCATTTTAAGTCAGGTACAACTTGCTTTTTTTACTCATGGGATTATTTGAGACATATTTATCTATTTATCTTGGCATTTGTTTAGTAAAATGTAAATAAATTAGTTATTCTTTTGTGCAGGGGTCATCAAACTCTTTTCAGCATCCTAGGGTGCATGAGTTGAACGATTCTAAACGAACACATACCAATTGGCCGAAGTAACCAGTTTTCATGAATTCTTTGTCAAGTAATATGATTCGAGGTACAATGGAGGAGTGAGCCATTGACTCTGTTGTTGGACCACTAGGGACATTCTCTATGAAGGTATTGTCTGCGGCCAAAGTCTTCATGCTTGAAGGTGTATAAGGGCTTCTTCTATTCTTCATTTTCAATTTTTTAGGTAATCAAGATATGGTATTTCCACAAATGAACGTCAAGATACGTGATTAGACTTGGTGTTACGAATTAAGCTACTTGGTTACCCCTTGCTAAAGCTGGAAAAATTTTCGAGTGTGTAAGTTTGCCTGGATTGATATATTGGTATTTTGGTTTGGACAACTTGTTGCTAGATTTTATTTGCCCTATAAGTGGAATAGATAGACAAATCGTGCAATGCAATGTGGCCATAGGTGGAAATCTCTAGCTTGTAGTGGTCCTTGGGCTTGAAATGACATTTCCTATCTGGCATTTAGAAACCAATGGTTATGCATTTTCAGTCATTTTGACTACACTGTGTATCTCTCCTTTTGAGTTAAAGAAGACTGTATATGTGACGTTTTACTCATCCACTACGTTATGAAGCTGGCCTTTGTGTGGACATTATATAGCTAGATATTAGGATCAGAAAGAAGAGCTGCTCTTCCACCCTAACACTTAACCATGCTTTGGCAAGCGAGTCTCTGGATAATAATCTTCAGTTACGTTGGGAACTACTTCTGGACACACTACTTCTTCACAGTTTTGGGAGCTTCTGAAACATTTACATCGTGGAAAATGAATAATGTGAGCCATAAATTTGAGACATTGACTAGTTATGCTTTTCTTAATCATCTGTCTGTTTCTTATCATGTGGTCTGGTTAACTTTTTTGTGCAGGTACAGACATTTTACTTTCCTCCTGACTCATGTTTGCTTTTTGTTTTACCATGTTACGTCAAACATGACCCTCCGCAGGCTAAGGCATGCCATTGCTGACTTGCCTGAAAAAATCCAGTGGGTTACTGAGGCGGCATGGATTCTGGTTCTTTCCTATTTCATAGCATACCTGGAGACTGTAGCTATTTCTAATGTATGTCCAGACCAATTGTTCTACTATCCATCATAACTATAACCAACTTTTTTTTTATATAGATGGCATGCTGATTTTATTGCCTGTTTGAACTGGAGTGGTGCATATTTGTCAATGCATTGTCTCAAAGATTGCTTATTCTGGCCATTCTCCTTTATCCACAGCCTTATCATGAAAAGAATCAGTTAATTAGTGACAAGACATATTCAGTCAAGCTTGAAATGAAATTTCGTTAGATTAAGAATATCAATTGTTATCTGTTTTGTAATATCCCGGGTGAATGCTGATTCTTTTCCTCTTCAAATGTATATTCCTCAGCATGTTTCTGTAGTTTCAGTAATGAGAATGACAGTTCAACATCTTTCTGCCTGCCATGTCACGTCACATTTTTTTGCAAGCTTTCGACTTTGCATGGAGCATTTCTTGTGAAATCTGTTCTTTCTTTTTATGCCAGGCAGGTCTTTGCTGTGAAACAAACCCAAGACATTTTACATTGCAATTGTCGCTATTTCATTTAGTTAATTACAGATGCTTAAATAGTAATATGATATGCAGGGATTATGCAAACCTAATTCGTTTCGTTCAATGTTTGCAGTTTCCTTATTATGAATTTGTAGACCGGGCATCCATGTATAAAGTGGGGTCCTTGTTTTATGCCATATACTTCATTGTGAGCTTTCCGATGTTTCTGAGGTGAGAACTTTATGTGCCCAACACCTATTTTATGGGTTCTTATCCTCTTTGTTTCAAAAAATGCATGATTCAGCAGTAACACACGCACATCACGGCTGCGCAATCATGTGGAGTGATGTGGATGTACTTGTCTTAGAATGAATTTAAATTGTAACTGAGAGAATTATAGGTTCCAGCTTGTATAAATGCACGGTCTGTACTTTATCAATTCGGACAGTGATTTCATTGATAAATAACTACATTGACCAGTATTGCGTTTTCATAATAGTGAAACCATATGCCAGAATGAAGGCAATGGAAAAATGTAGATGCAATCATCTAAACAGATGAAAACATTATCTGGTTAACGAGCCATAAATTCTGACAAGGTTGATCTGCATTGTACGCGCCATTTTCTTCATGTTCTCTAGCATATATTCAATTATGTGGTTGCTTTTCATACATTATGTTTCATATATCCAAATTAAAAGGAATAATGCTTCTACTCATTAGAAAAATACAATTGCACCCTTTTTTTCCCTTTTTTTCTTTTTGATATAAAGTGGAAGAATTGGAGAATATGGAAGAGGATATGTGCCAGTTGTAGCTTTGTCTTTTCTAGTCAAACGTTTTGTACTTGGTCAATCATTGGAGCTCATGCAACATTGTCAGCTGAAAATGAACTTATGCCTGCAGGATTGATGAGAAGCAGTCCTTGGGACCTGCCAAGAGTAGCCGTCGATGCTTTGGGTGCAGCCATGCTGGTGACAATCATACTTGACTTGTGGTGTATTTTCCTCGGACCAATTGTCCCAGTTCCTGACTCGAAACAATGCATTCAGCCAAGACTTCCGTGGTTTCCTGGACATTCTGTGGAAGCTTGACATAGTGACTGTACTAAAACGGGAGCTTGTGTTTTTGTTCCCAATTCCATAGAGGTTGTAAGTTTTGGGGTGTTCCCTGTTGGGGAAAAGATGTAACCACAACCGTGCCAAAAGACTTGTATTGTACTAGTTGTAGTGCTCAGGACATTAACCATCTTTTGAGAAGTCTTTCTAATCAGTTGAAATTGGGGATTAGAGACTAACAATGTGAATCTTAATGTCTCTCCAAGTATATGTAGGTGTGTGTTGAAACCATGATGGTGTTACTATAAGGTTGCCCAATATGCTTGCCTGCGGTAGTTATTTGTATATGTGCCTCATTTAGCTTCCCTAGCTGTGTTGCATGGCATGCATTGATTTGTGAACGAGCTCGATAGATTCAACGAACATTGTGGATGAGGCACTTTCTCTGTCCTAGTGAGTGACTTAAGCACAGTTTTGAAATTCCCAAACATTTAATGATTACAAAAGAGGGCTTCTTCTAACATCCAATTTTATAGGATGGTAGCCATGGGAATTTCTAGGGCCCCACCATGGTTTTTCTTCTATTCATCACCCCGAATTAATCAATACACCAACCAAATCTTATTTTCGATTACATGTAAAACCTAGTATGTTTACTCCAATTCTCCTTTTTGCTAACATGTGGAGGATTACTCATACTACTTGAGGGAGGCTAATCATTTGTACATGATTGGCGCAACAATAATTAGAATCGTGGGGTCCTTTTATTCTTGTGTTCACTTTGACAAAGACCATTCTATTTTCTTTTGTCTCTGAACTCGAACATCTTCCATAGCTATGGAATTAAGGCTACGATTAAGCTTGACGGGGAAGGGCAATTTGCTGAATCAATTAAATCAGTTGATCGAATTTTGTTGAATTAAATAAAAGGAGGAGAAGAGAAGGCAACCGAGTTGAGAGAGGATTTTGGTATGTAAGATTCTGATGGCTGTGGTGGGTTCATAACCACCTAAAAGCTTGAATAGAATACCAAGCAGGCCAAGCGGATGGAGACAGTGATTTGCTTTTCAAGATCATGATATGTGATGATTCTTGTTTTCTTCTACAAAATAAACGCACATTTCTATTGTTTCAAGTGCGCAAGCGCAGGTGTGCTTTTATGTGTGTGTGTGTGTGTGTGAGAGAGAGAGAGAGAGAGATCTTATCTAACCACTATCAACATAGTGACAGTAAGGACTTCACCTAAAAGAGATGAACAAAAGTTCAAATTATATGAGAATCAGTAAATCGTAATAGCATAATAGAAAGCAAAAGAGGACAGATATGATGCGGAGCCAAATTAAAAGCCATTGAAGGCTTTCCTCTCTCTCTCTCTTTTATACCAACAATCCAAGAAAAATGGAAAAAAAAATAAAACTTGGCAAGAAAACATTACAAGGAGAAACTAAAACAAGGGGCTTCCCAGGTTACAAAAACAAAATGGATTAATTATGCAGTAGCTTTTCGGAGGACGAGCAGCGGGTCAAAAATTGTAATTGTGAATTAGTGAACAATGATACTTCACATGAAATAGCTGAGTGCCTTCTTTCTTCTTGAACCGCCTTCACCGTAGAGTTCATTCCACTGCAGAAGCTCGGTCATGTTAATAGACTCGGATGATACGCTCGCACATACCTGTTTCCATGTTAACAACACAGATACGAAATCAATTGAAGCTGCACCAACAATACGGAAAATGAAATGCTACTAAGTTGTAAAATAGCTATAGGTTTGTGGACAATCACGCTATGGTGAGAAAAAAGTGCCATTTTTGAATATTTTTACCCGTTCATGTGCATATTTGAAATCTTCCATATTGAGAGACCGTATATCAGCACTCCCTCTCAAAGCTGGAGCAGGTTTGCCTTCTGCTAGAGCTGCAGCGCGTTCCTGCCATGAGTTGCACATATTATCAGCCATAATCAAAGTACGAGTAAAGTAGCCATATCAAATTATGAGAAGATGTGGAACTTTTTCTCCTTTTGCAATATCTCTTTAATTGGCCTGTGCGCTTCGATTACACATAAATTCTGCAACTTACTGTAATAGGTGAGAGTGAATTCTCCACTAGTGAATAGTGTGAGTTAAGATTCTACGGTGTCACCTTTAGGTCACTTCCTGAGTTACCATCTGTCATGCTTGCAATTCCGTCCAAGTCGACATCTGCAGAAGTCTTCCTTTGCCAGTATGACTTTCAAAATTTTTGCTCTATTTGGAGCATCTGGAAGATTTACCATCAATCAGTAGTAAAGACGAAACTTAGCATCTGCTTTTGGGATATATGAGACTCGAGTCCGCCCTATTCCTAGTTTTGGCAACCCCCTGTTCAGTCCTTCCAGCAAAACACAGGCTTTACACCATTTCTGCCAGATAACACACAATAAGTGAATTATGTTCCAACAAGACCAACAAAATATATTAAAGTTCAAATTTTACTCAGCATAGATAGCTGATGAGAGAAGCTGTGTCAATTCCTTTCTTACATTTTAAAGTCAGACCCGAGGAAGAGAAGTCCACTTTACCTGGCTTGAAATGTAACCACAGCATTCACACGTCCCCTGCTCTGGCATTTTTGTCGAAGCAGATATTCTGAAATTTTCACCTGATTTTATAATGTCGAGTATGGCTCTAGGTCTGCAATCTTATAAATCGAGTAGTAAGCAAAAGAATGCAAAAGAATAATAAATCACATCATACTGCAGCATTGTAAGAAAGAGGTTAACAAGACCTTATTCTTTCCAAGTCCTTAATAAACTCACGAGCAAAACCCCGATATGCATTAGGAGAATAGATGCCTGCCATTTCGGTAAACTAATTCAGCAAAGTCCAAGCAGTGATCATATAATATAATCATGGTGCAATATGAGAATACTTCTACATCTAGCCCAGCGCACACAGAGTATGCTAAAACTCTAGAAGATACAGCCAAACCATTTAGAAGGGAAAAATCTTTGAAACTTTACATCCCCATTAAAGTGCATATCCTAGAATGACACCTCACACGTGAGCACAGAAATATTTATCAAGTGCATCCAGTCTACTGCTGGGAATATATTGATGTGAATCAGCAAACAAAGAGGATCTGTGGAGTGGACGCAATACAGCAACAATATGTTTCATCTAATATGAAACAACATACCCAAGTAAAGCTCTTGAACTTCACGTGACTAGGTTGCAGATTATATAACCATAACACAAACATGATGAACTAACAAGTGAACCCATACAGGACAAATGGAAGGTCGAAATTCCAGATAAGTTCTGCACAAGTGACATCAAGCACAATGTAGGGAAGTGGGAGTTGGCAGAGGACACTTACATTCAGTTGAGAAATAATCCAGCCTCTTGAAATATGCATACGTGTTGAGTAGGTTAAGGGTTGCAATCAATGGCACCAATAAAGAAAGTAACAGTTGTGAATACTCCAGTACACATATCACAATCTCCTTCTCATATATGTTCTTTAAAGGTAAAATGCAGAAGAATTTAACTATTAGGATATATGACGATCTCTTTCTCGTACGTGTACTTAAAAGGTTTACACCTAGGAATTGGTCCGTCTTCACCAGTTGTAATTGCAGTACACCTACTCAATCTACAATATCAATAGAAGGGCAATAAGTCTTGAAAGAAAAAAAAAAGAAACCAGAGGTAAGCTCTGATAAATAACTACTTACCGGGCAATGTCACCCCGCAAAATATTTAAAAGAACTGTTTCAGCAATATCATCGGCATTATGTCCAGTAGCAAGCTTGTCTACTTTCAGCAGCGCAGCGCCTCGGTCAAGAGCCTTAAAGGTAAAGCAATTCAGCAGGCATAATTAGATTTGGCCCTGATTAGGTGAAGTAGTCTTTTTAATGTTGGGGGGATGGTAGGAAGTGTGCAATGGCACGGTATCCCATTTAACATGCTGTTGTCAACAGAACTTTTTAGCGATTCATATTCCAAGGGCTGCAAATAAAAGGATGTGCACATCCCCATTCCCCTAGATAGAGTAGAAGATGGCTTCTATACCTGACGGCGGAAGACCCCACAAAATGTGCAGTTATTCTTCAATCCGATAATCTTTACTATTTCATCCATTGTCCATCCATACAAATCTTTATATGAAACAATTTTCAATGGTAGTCCATACTGCAGATAACAACAATACATCGCTAGCAAAGTGGGCTTCTCCTTGCTTAGCTGAAAATTTGATTCTAGAGACCCTTTTTGCAGGATTTAAGAATGTGGAATGCCAACTTAGCCAAATCTACATTCAGAACGATCCTTGCTAACAACTGTAGCACAAGAAGCTCTTTCCTTTCTTAAGTCAAATTTTTTGGTTCAAAGAACCATTCAATTGAAACTTTAGATGACCAAATGGAGTACCTCAGAGTCCTCTAGTGATATGAATACACAAGTAAGCATAAAATTCCCCACAGCCATACTCTAATTCCTACACTATTTCCGTAAGCTAACAAAAAACTAATGTTTCAATGTCCAAAGCCAAGTTCTGGAATATGAAATGAATAGAATAGCAGAATACAAAATCAGAATGCACACTATTATCAGCAGATGTCCAGAGAATCTAAAAAACACTCTGTACATATCCACAAAAGGGAAAGTTTTCATTTTGCTAAAAAATGCAAATCCGTAAGCACATATCTACACTTCACAGATCCCCGCACAAGGACATCTTCGGTAAGCAGGAAATAGAAGATATTGCAGTACAGGACTCGCTGTTGCAAAAAAAATTTTACCTGGATCATGTCCAAAATAACTTCCAGCCCACCAAACTCACGCACAGCACCAGCTATTGCAAACTCATCCCAAAGAAGCTTGTGCGACTCCACCTACATTCACCAACTAATATTGATATAAAGAGAAGTTAAGCTTGTGCAAAATAGCGAACAGAGAAATAGGAGGCCTTTGAAGTACCGGCAAGAGAGAGAACGCCAGAGGAGGTTGTGGTTGGCCAGCCAGTCATAGAGGACGGGGACGAGGGACTTCCGCCGGGCGTACTTCTCGTCGACCGCGTGCTGCTGCTGCGATCTCTTCTCCCTGGCCACCGCCGACGACGACGACGAAGACTTGGCCGCCGCCGCCGGCTGCGGCTGGTGGTGGTGGAGCTCCTCCTTTGGCTACGGCTTCGCCTTCCACCGTCGCTTCTTCGGGGCTTGCGGACGCAGAGCGTCGAGGCAGAGGCTAGGGCTAGGGCATGGCCGACGCGGAGGCGTCGGCAAGGGTTGGGGGCAGAGGCGTCGGCGGAGGCGTCGGCGTGGGCGTCGAAGGCGGTGTCGGAGGGAGCGCGAGTTCTCAGAGTGCAGAAGGCGTCGGCGTCGGAGGCGGCACGTCTGTGAGAAGAGAGAAGTTGGGAGCGCGAGCGCGTAGAGGAGCGTCGGCGTCTGCGTCGGCATCGGCGTCGGCGGAGGCGGAGGCGGAGGCGCCGGCGTCGGAAGAGTCGGAGGGAGCGCCAAGTTCTGAGCCGGGAGGAGAGAGAGGGGTTGGGGCGCGAGAGTGTGAGAGATGAGAGGAGAGAGACGCGCTATATTTTCAAAATATTGGAGGTTATCTGACCGGGTGGGGCCCGGCGACACGTGTCGCACGCTGAGATACTCATTTTTTGCCACGATGGAATGCGAGTCCTACCTAATATTTTTTCAATATTTTTTCTATAAGAGATGAGAGGAGAGAGGCGCTATATTTTCAAAATATTGGAGGTTATCTGACCGGGTGGGGCCCGGCGACACGTGTCGCATGCTGAGATACTCATTTTTTGCCACGGTGGAATGCGAGTCCTACCTAATATTTTCTCGTCGTAAGAGATATATGGCCTCCAAAACTGAATTTTCTTATGTCCTTTCTATGCAAAATTTTTTTGAAAAAGCTAGGATGATATGTCAAATCATTTGCCACAAAATTTCAGCGCAATCAGACGAGCAATGAGCGTATTTATTGTCTTTTCCACACAACCGCGTAGTCTGCCTTCACTAGACCCCTAGATGAAGACCGATACTGTATGGCCTCCAAAAGTGGACTTCGCAATGTCCTTTGAGCGTGAAATTTTAATGCAGGATATGTCGACATGTCGACTATCTCCCATCAGATTTCAGCCCCATCGGACGAATGACGGGTGCATACTCGCCGTTTCTGCTCAACTGCGCAGTCTACCCTTACCAGACCCGAGTTGCGCATCTTCCACTTTCAGTCCTTTAATCACCCATTCAACCGCCCACTTAATCTTGCATTTTCTTCACTTCATTAAACCCTAAGCCAGCCACAATCTAGTCCCAATGGAACTAGGAAACTCGAACAAGAAATGAACTAAAGTTCAGAGGAAATTAGAGGCAAAATCGGTGGACTTGCAGCAGTCCATTGCTAATTAGGCCTAAAATGGAAGTTGTCTTGGCTTAAAAAACAAGACAAAGTAGCCGCAACAAGGACTCAAGAAAAGCTGTAGCACGTGCCAGAACAAGAAAATGATTAAGGGCATTGCTGGGATTGGTGGGGCAACCCCACTGACAGCACGTTGATTGAGCAAATTGGAGAGTCCGGACATTTGGCAAGTTGCCGGATAGTGATAATTTTTGTTCTTTTATTCTTAGAATCAATTTTGAAATAGAAATCCGTTTAGCAAATTTTTAGTTCCCGAGCATAAATTTGCAAAATTTGTTCCCATAATCAATTTTGGAACAAAATCAAGAAAAAAAAGGTAACTTCTTGATTCTGAAAACAATTTTTCCATTTCTGATTTTTCTTGATTTTCTTATTCCTTGTTGGTTTGTTCTTCTTCTTCTTCCTGGCCGGCCGCCGACCACCGGTGACCGCCCACAGGCTAGGGCTGGTGAGGGTGTCGTAGCCCTCGCCGCCTGGGTGAGGGCGACTCGCGGCCACAACGCGAGGCCTCGCCGTAGCGACCCAGGTGAGGGAGATGGGCCGCGACGGCGAGGACGGCGGTGAGGGTCCAGCCCTCGTTGGCCTTGGCCATGGGCCAAGAAGGGGAAGAAGAATAAAAAAAGGAAAATTTTAAAAAAGAAATATTAAAAAATTGAAAATATTATTAATAAAAAGAAATTTTGTGTAGTTATCAAACGCATTTATGTTCTTTTTCTATTCCAAGGATAGAAATTTTGGGCAGTTACCAAATACCTTCAAATGCTTAGAAATTGTTTCCGGACACGGAATAAAAAAGAATCATTTCTGAGCAGAATCAGTTTCCGGGCACAGAATGATTGTCAAACACACCCTTAGAGGTTGTGGTTCGGGGGTCAAAAGAGGGAGATTTCGGCCGGAAGAAGAAATTACAAAATTATTTTGAAAGGGTAACTACAAATACAATGAAATGATAAAAAAAATTAAAAATAAAAGTAAGTCTCACGTGCCTTTTTAATCGTCAGAATCTACCCATCAACTTCACCCTCTAGGGCCGGCCGCCTTGTCCTGAAGGGGCGAGTCGGTAGTTCCATGTCAAAGGCAAGACAAAGGGAACTGTTCGTCCTCGCGCCTGGTTTCTCCTCATGTGGATGGACTCTTCTTTCTCGTAAGCATAGTCTTCCCGGGTTGGTCTTGCCTCCTAGCTTGAAGTCGTTGCCATCCTTGCACCATCATCGTCATCTTTCCTCGTTTCTGCAGGTCAACAATCTCACCTACGCGCATCTTGCGAATGTGTCATTAGCCTACCTCCGAGTCAAAACTCAACTTTGGTCGTGGCGGGAACATCCCCCGACGTACTCCTCGCAAGAAAAATGCCGAGTTCCCGAGCCATTTAAGTCGGCTGAAATCACGCGTGACAAGAATTCACGCTCGATGCCTAAAATTGTCCTTAAATGAGTAAACTCGAATGTTCAATCAATATATAACCATCAGATCCATCCCCGGAAACAAAGATGGGTAAACAAATAAAACGCAACCGTGTTGATCCTCTGGTCCAAACTGTGATAGAAATTCCAGTTAGGGTAATCGCGAGAGAGGGATAGCCCGAGCCCTAGCACGAGTCGACTTAGGGAACTAATTGAACCCATTTTCCCTATATATCGAGCTTCTGTTGCATGCGTGTCCCAACAATAATGGATCCTCATGTGTACTTCTAGACAAAACTCGGACTTGTCTGCTTAAAGACGAGTAAAACCCATGATGTGAAAGAATTTTCATCTTTAATGGGAAATCGATGGACGACTTTTCATACCGATAGACGAAGAACGAAAACGTCCGTTTTTTTCTTCTCTCCACAACATGGTGCACCTTGCATTGTACTGTATCATCGCGACAAAAGAAGAAGAAAAGGAAAACAACATGCAACAGGACGAACCCATGAGAGGGAGAGAACTGTTCCATGTCTAACCAATTTCATGGGCGACTCGAAGTCATGAAAATACGCAAATTGCGAAGCTCTGTGAATTTTACGAATCGCGTCGTTTTGGGTTGCTGCGACTTTACGAATCTCGTAGACGCAGCTTGCCTCCACGAAAACGACTCCCGTGGTCTCAACAAGTACTGCAAGTGGAAGGTTTTTTTTTTTTTTTATATGGTCGAGACATGGGGAGAGAGCTTCTGTTCCATAACTTGGATTGGAAAATCAGCACAAGTGGCTGAATAGATGTTGTTTCCTCACTTTTGTCCTGTTATTTTGGTGGCTGCTAGAGACGTGTCCCAGAAGTTGAATCCGGCCTCTTGGGTATCGAGTATGGCACGCAACTTCCTCCCGTGATATTTTTCTCTATCGGAGATAATTCGAATCTCTCTCTTGATTCTCCGTATCTCTCAAGAATGCACATATTATCTCCCTTTGATCGTACACATCCTTGATTGATTAATCGATCGTGCGTATCCTCTAACTAGCTTTTCGATTGGTAGGTTCCAAATATGAATCAGCGCATTGTACTTCGATCAGGGTCGAGTTCCCTTTCATGATTCGGTGGCCATTGCTTTGCCGCTCCAACGACCTATGATATACGTCGACCTGTGGATAGCACTGAGAGGTGCATTTGTGATGTTAATTGCCCCATCTACATTGAAGTGCTGAACGGTAATAAATTCCTAGTAAAGACACAAGTGTCACAGTCTCATGAATATGTATGCTGAGATGTTGAAGAGTGTCCTTGGGCCTATTTATTAAGTCTTTGTTAAATGTGTTCTGAAAATTGAAAAGTTTGTGTACGAACTTATGTGGAGGCAATGGTTAGTTGAATAATTGATTATTTTATTCTGTGTTGCCACTTGCCGTGAGAAGAAGACTCATTGGATTTCTTCTCCTCTTTAAACTCGTCGACCGACCGACGTTGACCTTCCACTATGAAGAGATAATCAGATTTTATGAACGAGTGTTCTCGACACACTTGTAAAGCAATAAATTAAGAAAGTTTCGCAAATTTCAGTGTACCGATTGATTTTATGTTATACCCAACTGATGTCTTGAAAATTTCTATATTTTGAATAAAGTATAATTAAAATACCTAGCCAAACAATTTTCTAGAGGACGTTATTTTCAATGAGCGTATGGGCAAGAGGCGACGCAATCCATGGCTCACTTGAAATTGTAAACATTTTTCTCCATTTGCTGAGGTCAAACTTGGGTCATGCGGTACGTAATCCGCGAATAAGATATTCATTATAAGAAGAAGTGTCCTTCAATTTTTCAACGTTTCTAGTCATTTGCATTCTTCTTGGGAAAGTTTATTTGACTCAGCTAGGATTTGAAACTTGTAAGCGAAAATAAGTCAATTGTTTAATCTGCATACACATTTAGCTGACCAATCTTAAAATGGACCATAGACCATTAAACTTCAACGGATCGTAAACTGTTTTAGTAATATCTAGCTCAGAAGCCAAAAGTCATATGTTCAAATCTTACGAACCACGTGTAAATTCTTTTGAATTACAATATCCGTACAGGCTAAATGCTTATATCTAATCGATTTACAGGGCATTTAACTAGCCTCCCGATAGCTCAGCCTTTTGTACTCGTGCATTTGGATTCTTGTATCACCAAAAAAAAAAAGAGCACGTCTAATAAGCATAATTTGAGTTGACTTCAAATATTCACTCAAGTAAAAAAAAATCACTTAATTTGCTAAGTAAGAAAGTTGTTACTTTATGTGATAAGAAGAAAAGAAAATGGCTACTTAATTCATCACGGCACAAGCACAGAATCCGATTTCGAGACCTATTGATCGAGAGCTCTCCTCGGTGATCCATGGATCACCCGAAAATATTCCCCCGAAAGCTTCCTTCGCGACTCAGTATTCCGCTATGCTATCGAATAATTCTTTCATTACCTTGAAATCCAAGCTAGATCTACTGCCGACCCCTAAAATTCCGGACGAGTTCTTGAAATGGAGTTTTTGGACAATCGAGGAGCAGTCTCAATCATCAAATCAAAAAACAGAAACAAGACCCACCACGACTGCAAATGCCAAAATAGTGTCGGATGGACATTTTTGCTCGAAAAGTGGGACCCGTAGCATGCGTTGCGTTCTGCGGTCACCCTTTGCTCGAATAGGTTTCGCACTACTTTCTTCTCCGTGGCCGGAATTTTGGAACATA